TTAAATAGGTTGTGTTCGTGTTGAAATTTTTTACCCATTTATTAAACGTGTCGTGTATGAGTTTATATGTTTTTCACCCGTCACCCGTTTAACCCGACACGTAACCATTTAACCCAACATGATTGACACCCCTAGGTCAGGGTGACCTACTCCAATTTGAAGGCGACAATGGTGTCCGAAGGACTTTATTGATAAAGTAGTTGAGGGGAAAACATGAGTAAGGTCTAGATGTGGTGAGGTAGCTATGAGAGAGATAGTTGCGTGTGGAATGCAGAGGTGTGAGAGATAGTTGTGTGAGATGTAGCTTTTTCCCTCATGTGTAGAGAGCTTACAGTTTATAGACACATAGTCTTAATTGAGGTGGTGGTGTGATGAGTAGGTTATTAGCTTTTTGGGGAGGATAGTTACAACTAGGATACGTACAATTAAAAATAATTTTGATATTTGAGAATGACTATTCCGGTAATTACTCCCCACGTATGCTAATATTCCTGGACTCCTTGAACTGAAGCCATTAGCTAGGTCTGGTCTACCTTTTAATGGTTTGGGACTCAACCTATGATCTAGGCCCAGACTTGGTCTAAATCTAGGCTCGTCATTTGCCCTATGCCCCAAGCCCTAGTAGTGATAAGGGGGTTAAGGGCATGAATGAGTTCTTTTATTTGGGTAGACCAAGGTGTCTTGTTCCATATGGTGACTTCTTCAACTTTCTACTCCATTGTATTTATTGAAGCTTATTTCTCTACTTAGTAGCGCCATTGTTGGAGAGACGATGAAGAGAAGCATGAACACATCGGCGTGTGGAGATGGAGATGCTTTAGCGAGTGGCACCTTGGAAAGGGAGAGAAACTTGGGTGGCGCCATGGATATGAACCTGGGTGACACCAGGGAAGGCATGAGGCTGAGCAGTGCCATGGATGACACCATGGAGGACCCAGGCAAACTTTAATATTTTTGGTTTCCAAAAATTCTCTATTTCATTTAGATTTCACAAGTGATCCCGTGGTTAGTACAACAATGGTAGAGGCTATCTATGTCAAGGAGTGGCTTTGAAAATTTATGATACCGCGATGGAGGGCTTTTTACTATGGTACCCATTTGTTATGCCGAACCTTGTCTTCTGTATGTTTTGGTCATACTGACATTGTTGCTTTCAGATATTTGCAGATGGCTTTGGTTTTTCGATGGTTTTGAGGTTATCGAGGAACAGTTGGGGTTGATTCATAAGAGAGCAACACCTCTTGAGGACAAGCTTTTAGGAGACTGAGGCTACTTGTGAACAAAGGCAAAATGAGGCCAAGCTTTTGACAATTCGTGAGAAAGCCACTAAGCTAGAGATTGATGCTGCTTATTTGAGAGCAAAGATAGTTAGGCCAAGTTTCTAGCAACTCGTGAGAGAGCTGCTAAGTTGGAAACATAGGCTGCTTACTTGTAAGCAAAGCAAAGTTAGGCCGAACTTTTTGGTGACTTACGAGAGAGGAGCGCGTGAAGCTGGAGACATAAACTGCTTGAGAGTAGAGGCAGGATTAGACCGGGCTTTCTAGTGACTCACAAGAGAGGCCTGTGCGAAGCTGGAGACATAGATTGCTTGAGAGTAAAAGTAGGATTAGGTCGAGCTTTTGGCAACTTATGTGAGAGCCACTACGTTAGGGATTAAGGTTGCCTTAGAGCAAAGATAGGATTAGGATGAGCTTCTGGAGACTTGTGAGAGAGCCATTAAGTTGGAGACGTAGGCTACCAGTGTGAGAGAATAGACCAAGCTTTCGAGGACTCATGAGAAAGTAGCTAAGCTAGAGACATATAATACCTACATGAGAGCAAATGGAAGAAGAGGTTGAGCTTTAGGCAACTCTCGTGAGAGCTGCTAATCTGGAGACATAGGCTGTCTATGTGAGAGCAAAAGTAGGAAGGGGCCCAACTTTTGGCAACTTTCGTGGGAGAGTCATTAAGCTGGATACATAGTCTGTCTATAAAATAGTAGAGGCAGTAAAAGACCGAGCTTTTGGCAGCTTCGTGAGAGCTACTAAGCTAGAGATTGAAGTTGCTTGAGAATAGAAGTAATGTGACGCCCCTAAAAATTGGTGGTCCTTGATTAACCGTTAACTACCCGTCAATCTGCAGAAATACTCGTGATTGTCGTTCAAACCGACATCACGTCAATATAATCCCTTTAACTGGGATTGTTATCCACTCGTATAACACATGCATATTTTGCCATATGACCCAAACGGGTCTAATATACCACAACTTATACTTATTTTATGTCCATTTATATCCTTGAATTCAAAGAACCCATAGCCCAAAGGCTTGGCAACAAAATTTTAAAATTTCAGATTTTTGAAAAGTGTACCAGTAGGCCATACTAGTACGAGTTGCCCACTAGAAAAGCCATACTGAAATGAGTTGCCCAGTGGAAAATCCATACCGGTACGGGTAACCCACTGGACTTCGTCATACCGGTACGCCATATCGGTATGCTTTGTCCAATTTTGCCTGTTTTACATATTTTTTATTTTCAATCCGTTTTAATCCATTCCACCACCATCTCATACATGTTTAATGAAGTTTTTCACATTACACATGATCCATACTAGTTCTATTACATGTATTAACATGAATTTACATACCAAAACTAAGTTTTCATTATAGTTTACAAAAAAACGAATTCAAGGCTACAAGTCGACCTTTCTTCATCACTGGACCCCCGAATAAGAGCCGTCCATCGGTGTGTGTCCCCCACCTAAAATATTTTTTCGTATAAGGTGAGCTACGCTCAATAGAGTATCTCTTATAGATGCTACTTCCCCCTAGATGCATATGAAATGTGCACATGCAATAATCAACAATTATTTTCCATTCAAACAAGAATATGTCATTCAATGTTGGAATCCTACCTTGTCATGTCATGAAATGAGATGAGATGAGACTCACTCATGCACTTGAAACCGAGTCCTCACCGGCTCCTGCAACACAATGCAATGCATATGTGTAATATATTTGTCATTGATGAAACACAGCGAATGACTATTGTACAAAACAAAATCATGTGTCTTTGTTGGGTATCGGATTTTGGAATCACACCACTAGCTTTGTACGCCATTACACTTTTCTAGAATTGCACCACAGGGGAGTGTATGAACCAAGTAGTCGGGTCTTGCACCCGAGGGAGAATCTATCCCTTCTTACTATACCCGACACAAGTTTTTCTTTCATGCAACATGCGACTCAGTTGGATCTTCAATCTAATTTTCCCGAGCCCACCCATCAATCACCAAGTATGGTGTTTGATCAACTCATTCAGACACACACACACACACCCAAGTCTCATGCCCATGGATGCAATGCTTCCGTGCAATTGCAATGTAAGTTATCATTGCAATATCAATGTTATGCACCATATGTAATGAATGTCAATTTAACCACATATTTCAACATATGTCATGAAAATTTATATCAATTACATATAATTACCACATTCTATCACAATGTCAATACACCAACTAGGACTTATTAACATTTATATCCAACACAAATCACAAACATGTTATTTCATCATCTATGTCAATAACCCACTTCATTCACAAGGGCACAATATAAACACATAACATGCCTATATAATGCCACATTCCAAGAAATTATACAAGTAATTTCCATATATCAAATTCAAGCTACAAATTTGTCTAAGTCATTTCTATACCCAATTCCTCTCTTCCATAACCATAGACAAGTCATAGGTCATTTTATGCACCAAACCCTTTCTTTATGACATCATAGGTTAGAAATAAACCAGGTAGGAGGAAACCCTACCTCTTGAATCGTAAAATAAAGGATAGAACCTTCAAGAACACCAACCCTAACCTCAAACCTTGAATTTTCTAAAATCTCTTCTTTGGATTTTTGGTGAAATCCTTCGTTCTTGGTATGGTTGTGTAGCCCTAGTCGATATGATCGACTTTAACCCTTGGCTCGACAAATTCCGACCGACAGAACTCCTTGAATCGAAGAGAGATGACAGAGCTTTTGATTTTTTTCTTCTCCCCCTTCTTCCAACGTGTGAACTAACTGATAATGGGGAGAGAAATATCTGAAAATCAGATATTTCACCCCTATTTATACTCTTATAATGTGCGGTCCACGTCGCACCGCACGTTTCCTTTTTTCGGGTCCATTTTTGTCTCGAAATGACTTAATTTCGTCTTGCTTTATTATTTTTATTTGAAATTTTCTTCAATTCTAAGAAAATTTTATAAAATTTATTTTTGGAAATATTTGTGAGGTCTCCCGACACCCAGTTNCGTCTTGCTTTATTATTTTTATTTGAAATTTTCTTCAATTCTAAGAAAATTTTATAAAATTTATTTTTGGAAATATTTGTGAGGTCTCCCGACACCCAGTTGTTTCGTAAAATGTAAAAAATTTGAATATCTTAGAATTCGATGAAAATTGACCGGACAACTTTATTTCGCGAGACGAATTCAATGGTAAAATTTGTTGCATCATCCGAGCTCTATAAAAATACGTATTTTAAATCAGTATTATAGTGACAAATTATCGTTTTGCCTTTTTTCCAAAAAAGTTCAAATTTACTTGGGTTTTACAAGTAGGGACAGAGTAGGAAGAGATTTGGGTGACTCGGGAGGCTCTCTCCTAAGAGACAGAGAGAACAGTGAGAGTAGCCAAAGGGGTACCAGTAGGATAGAGCTGGCGATATTGGGCATCCAGTGCAGGAGACGAGATCACTTGGGGTGACAAGAGGCACCAAAGGTATTCCTCAATGAGTAGAGCACGCAATGCGGACAGTGTGCCCAGTTAGGAAAGAAGGTAGGCCTGCAGGCGGGCAAGAAGGTTAGCGCCAAGGCTAGGGTGTGCAAGGGCCTTTAGGCACATGCATTGCCGGGCACATGCGAGAGGTGTCGCTGAGTAAGGGCGTCATTGGACGAGGGCATTGCTAGGCGAGGCTAGGCATTAGAGGGGATGACAATGAGTCATTTAACAGTGCAATGAAAGATAGCGGAGCCAAGAAAGGCCGAGGAATGGGAGAAGGTTGTGCCAAAGGAGGCATACAGGGCAACCCCAACGCTAATTATGTGAGGCTAGGCGATGCCAATGGTGCGAGTAGGAGCGAAGTGGCTGATGACGACCATGGCTGCAGGTAAGGGCGACGCTGGACTAGCAGGCGGTGCCATGGCGCTAGTAGTGGCGAACCCGGAGTGACAGTGCCCATGGTGTGACTATTAGCATCTTTGGTGATGCAGACGATGATGCTGGTTATGTAAGCGAGGCAAGAGGTAGGCGCAGGAGGTGGCGCTAGTAGGGGAGGTAGGGCGACACCCACGCAAGCGTAGGAGGTGGCGTTGGGTAGGCGAGGCTAGGCTACGAGACGCTTTGAAGGCACTGGGCATCACAAGTGCGTTGGGCTACGATTTAGGCTACGTCTTTGNTTCTTTGGATTTTTGGTGAAATCCTTCGTTCTTGGTATGGTTGTGTAGCCCTAGTTGATATGATCGACTTTAACCCTTGGCTCGACGAATTCCGACCGACAGAACTCCTTGAATCGAAGAAAGATGACAGAGCTTTTGATTTTTTTCTTCTCCCCCTTCTTCCAACGTGTGAACCAGCTGATAATGGGGAGAGAAATATCTGAAAATCAGATATTTCACCCCCATTTATACTCTTATAATGTGCGGTCCACGTCGCACCGCACGTTTCCTTTTTTCGGGTCCATTTTTGTCTCGAAATGACTTAATTTTGTCTTGCTTTAATATTTTTATTTGAACTTTTCTTCAATTCTAAGAAAATTTTATAAAATTTATTTTTGAAAATATTTGTGAGGTCTCCCGACACCCAGTTGTTTCGTAAAATGTAAAAAATTCGAATATCTTAGAATTCGATGAAAATTGACTGGACAACTTAATTTCGCGAGACGAATTCAATGGTAAAATTCGTTGCATCATCCGAGCTCTATAAAAATACGTATTTTAAATCAGTATTATAGTGACAAATTACCGTTTTGCCTTTTTTCCAAAAAAGTTCAAATTTACTTGGGTTTTACAAGTAGGGACAGAGTAGGAAGAGATTTGGGTGACTCGGGAGGCTCTCTCCTAAGAGACAGAGAGAACAGTGAGAGTAGCCAAAGGGGTACCAGTAGGATAGAGCTGGCGATATTGGGCATCCAGTGCAGGAGACGAGATCACTTGGGGTGACAAGAGGCACCAAAGGTATTCCTCAATGAGTAGAGCACGCAATGCGGACAGTGTGCCCAGTTAGGAAAGAAGGTAGGCCTGCAGGCGGGCAAGAAGGTTAGCGCCAAGGCTAGGGTGTGCAAGGGCCTTTAGGCACATGCATTGCCGGNGAGAAGGTAGGCTTGCAGGCGGGCAAGAAGGTTAGCGCCAAGGCTAGGGTGTGCAAGGGCCTTTAGGCACATGCATTGCCGGGCACATACGAGAGGTGTCGCTGAGTAAGGGCGTCATTGGACGAGGGCATTGCTAGGTGAGGCTAGGCATTAGAGGGGATGACAATGAGTCATTTAACAGTGCAATGAAAGATAGCGGAGCCAAGAGAGGCCGAGGAATGGGAGAAGGTGAAAGAGGCATACAGGGCAACCCCAACGCTAATTACGTGAGGCTAGGCGATGCCAATGGTGCGAGTAGGAGCAAAGTGGCTGATGACGACCATGGCTGCAGGTAAGGGCGACACTGGACTAGCAGGCGGTGCCATGGCGCTAGTAGTGGCGAACCCGGAGTGACAGTTCCCATGGTGTGACTATTAGCATCTTTGGTGATGCAGGCGATGATGTTGGTTATGTAAGCGAGGCAAGAGGTAGGCGCAGGAGGTGGCGCTAGTAGGAGAGGTAGGGCGACACCCACGCAAGCGTAGGAGGTGGCGTTGGGTAGGCGAGGCTAGGCTACGAGACGTTTTGAAGGCACTGGGCATCACAAGTGCGTTGGGCTACGATTTAGGCTACGTCTTTGCTAGTGGCAGTGCCAATGATAGAGGAGGCGACGTGGGGAGTCTGAGCAGGAATAGTTTTGGTGACGTCCTTGCTGGTGGTGGCGCCAAAGGAGGGGGTGGTCTGGTTAACACCCTGGGTATAAGAGACGCTAGGAAATGCTACGGTGGGCGAGGCCTTGGTCCAGGATGCATAGGCAATGCCACTGCTGGGCAAACGAGTGGCGCTGTTGTTGGCTGTGAGGGTGACGCCGCCACTAGCTGGTGCGAAGGGGAGTTAGGCAATGTCAGTGGTTCCAGAGCTAGCTGCTGGGCATAGGCTGAGGGGTGCTGGCTGTAGGCGACACTGGGCATAGGNAGCTGTGAGGGCGACGCCGCCACTAGCTGGTGCGAAGGGGAGTTAGGCAACGTCAGTGGTTCCAGAGCTAGCTGCTGGGCATAGGCTGAGGGGTGCTGGCTGTAGACGACACTGGGCATAGGCACGACTATGCATGGACACTGAGGATTTGGGTGACTCCTAGGGGACAACACTGGTGGGCTAGTGATGCCACTATGAAATGGGCGACGTCACTAGGCAGTGGACAATGAGTGATGCCACTGCGTAGTGGGCAATAGGAAACATCATAGCTGGTATAGACAAGCTAGAGGTAACGCTAGTGGCCAACGAGGGAGTTAGGCGATGCCACTGGGTAATTGGGCTATGACATGTGCACTTGGGCGACGCTTGTGGCGCCCCTAAAACTAAGGTCCTTTGTCAACCTGTTGACCACCCATCAATCCGCATAAGTATCCGTGAATGTCGCAGAACCTGACACCACGATAATTACATTCCCTTCACCGGGATCATAAAACAACACATAGTTTGGACAGAGTTTCCCTTGTATCGGGCACTCCCAAACGCATAACCTGCGTAAAATTCAATCACTTGACTATTCCAAGATCCAATATACATCAATTTATCCTTAAGGACCCCCGATTTTAGGGGCGTCATAATGCCAGCTTTGGCACAGGCTAGAGGTGACACTAGTGGCCAATGGGTGATGCCAAGATTGGCATAAGTAGTTTGCGGTTGGCACAGGGCACTGGGCTTTTGGCTGTCACGGGTGACTAGAGGCACTTGGCGCGGGTGCCAAGGCTGTGGGTAACGCCCCCGGAGGGGATTGAGCGATGCTAGGATGGTCTGAGCGACATAGGGGTGGTACGCACACATGCTGCTGGCGCTGAGATGCTGGGCGCTGGTGCTAGCATTGGATGAAGTATTAAAAAAGCATAAAGAAATGNCAGGGGTGGCACGCACATATGCTGCTGGCGCTGAGATGCTGGGCGCTGGTGCTAGCATTGGATGAAGTATTAAAAAAGCATAAAGAAATGATAAAACTTTGAACGACCATAACTTTGTGCTCGGTTGTCCATTTGAGGTAATTTTTTTTTTTTTGAATTCGGGTATTTTTTCGAGATCTAACAGTTTCCAACTACGAAAGGCAGTTTGGGCACCAAATTGTTTCAATAAACGCTTACTTGTCACTGAATCGGAGTTTTAAACACAAATTAGTGAAAACGTAGAATTTTCTCGTGTCCATTTTTCGCCCGTGGTGGTGGGACCTCGTCATGATGTGGCGGGTCATCTTCTGCTTGGTGGTTCATGAATCTGGTTGTGATTGTCATTGAAAGTAGGAAGACTATAGGGTGAGAATCAAATAAGTTCCCACAGATGGCACCAAGCTAATGATGCACAAAAGTGAATTTGTGCACCACCTGTCAAGTAATTAAATAGGTAATAAATAAAGTAAATATGAAAGTGGGATCGATACATGCAACACACAGATATAGAGTGGTTCGGTCAAGATGACCTACCCCACTTTGAAAGTGACAACGGTGGCCAGAGAACTTTATTAATAAAGTAGTTGAGGGGAGAACACGAGGAAACTCTAGGTGTGGTGAGGTAGCTATGAGAAAGATAGATGTGTGTGAGATGTCGAGGTGTGTGAGATCTTTGTGTGAGAGATCGTTGTGTGAGATATAGCTCTCTTCCTTATGTGTAGAGAGCTTACAATTTATAGGTACAAGACCTTAGTTGAGACAGTGACATGATGAGTAGGTTACTAGCTTTTCGAGAAACTACAACTAAGATAGGTACAATTAAAGATAGTCTTGATCTTTGAGAGTGGTTATTCCGGTAATTCCTCCCAACGTGCACTAATAGTTCTGGACTTTTTGAATTGAGACCATTAGCTAGGTCTGGACTGTCTTTTGATGGTTTGGGCTTAACCCATGATCTGGGCCCAAGCCTGATCTAAATCTAGGTTCATCAAACACCATTAACGAGCCTTTTAAATAGAAAAATAAGTATTTAACGAAAATTGTAGACAGAAAATCAAAATTTTATAATTTTTTAAATTAGCTGTTATCAAATTAAATAATTTTTTATTAACACAAATATTGATACCAATCGACACGTACCGAAAGTGACACAATTCAAAAATAACACGACCGAAAGTGACACGATACAAAAATAACACGATCGAGAGTGATACGACACAATTGACACCCCTAAAAACAAGTTTGAGAGGATAGAGTAGGTTGTTAAAAAGGGAGAAAACTAATAAGTCTCCAACGGATAATTTGAAGATTAATTGCTAGAAGGAGATGTTTTCTCTAGAAGGTATTTGTACTTATTTTTTAGAACTATATAACGCTGAAACTTTGCTCATCGTATCAAGATCGTAACATATAATTTCTTTTTGCAATCTTATCTTTTGATAGTCTTACTCAAAAAAAGGTGAGCAAGTCTATATAATTAAAAAATGTAACATTTTATTTCTCCATTCTTGCACGTTTGAGCCTTCATTGATGGGATGTTCCACGAATTGTCACTGGAATATGAGTAGAAATAAAGCATAATTAAACTATGTTTTTATCATGGGCGAACTCCATTTCCACCCCACAAATCTCCATTTTCCTCCAATGAAACTCTAAATCATAAAATTATTAATTACACTCCTTCTATACCCATACTATTGGTAACTAAGTTTACCTCATTCTATGTCCACCCCTTTAATGACTAAATTTATTTCAATCTATATCTTTAGAGTTTCTTTCTAAACCCATCTCACACAGTCTATATAAAAATATACTCAAATTGATTATCCATTGTAGACCTTTCAAATAATATTCAACACCAATCCTATATGCATTATATGATTTATATCTTCCCTAGTTATTGGTTCATCTCTTATATTATATTTTACTTATGGTGGAATTGTGGTTATTGGCAATGAAAACCTATTCACCGGGTGACGAGCCTAATGTTAGACGTCGAAGCAGTTGCCGTTGAGGAAGGACCTCATAGTACTGATACCTATGTATCCACTCTCCGTATAATTTACACCTTTGATATCCATAAAGTTTGTATACATTTAGTGTTAAAAACATACATAATTATGTGTGTGTGTGTGCACGCACACATACTAACGGATCTTTGGTCCAATGATACTCTTTACTTTGTGAAGGCTTTGTCTTTTTAAGGTCAAATGTTCAATTTCTTCTCCCAAAAAAAAAAAAAGTGTGTGCGCGCACACACATATCTATAAATATACAAAGTTAACTTATTATTATTTTTTCTTGAAGAGAAATTCGCATATAATGATTAGAGTGAAGACTTATATGTTTTTTTTTTGGTAATATTCAATACCAACTTGAATATCACTTTATAGATCAATACTAAATAATCAAGTTAATTATAGTTTTGTATAAATTGTGTGAGACTATACTATAAAAAGAACATCCAGAAAAAAATTGAGATGAATTTAATAATTAGTGGGCTGAGTGTAGAATGAGGTGAACTTAGTTACTAATGGAATGAGTATAAAATGGATGAACTTAATAGTTTTAGAATTTAGACTTTAATGGAATGAGTGTTGGAATATGTGACTAAAATCTCTCAATATTAATTAAGCCACGGTTGGTGGTCAAATCCGGAATATATAAAACTCCAATCCGTTGGTTAAATGTTGCATTATTCATGACATATATCATAGATGCATTTTTTGTCAAATTATTATATATTAATTAATTATTTTATAATGATGCATGCATACATATATTGCATTGATATAATTCGATGTTTGAGTTAGATCTTTTCTAGTCAGTATGAGTGACTTGGCTAAAGAGATCTATCAAGTAGTGAAAAACTAGTCAATTCTACTTAGAGTATAATTAGCCTACTTTGACTACAGAGAATAGAGGAAATACTGGTGGAGTTGAGATAATATTGGGGAATTGAGGATATTTTGCTGAATGGTAACGGCTAGCTAAATCCTTCCTTATAAATAAAGTTCTCTGCATACAGAGAGAACACACTAAGAAAACACTCAATTTGTGAAAAAAAACTCATTGGGAGGTAATCTCAACCCTACTGTTGTTCCCCCTACAGCTTTCATATCAAAGAGAATTTTTAATTCTCAAAAGCTAGCTTTTCATTCATCAAATTTATCAAATTCTATTTTGTATATTCCTTCATTGGTATCAGAGGTATAGTCGATCAAATAATTTCTTACCGTCACAGTTCGTCTACAAATTCACTAAGACAATTTGTCTTTTTTTGTGCTCACAAATTCACTGGCCCAATAGAGTTATGAGCCAAAGAAATTTTATCCCATAAACAATCCAAGCACTCATTATCCAACCACTACTTTATTCTGCCATAAAAGCAAATTTCATTCTTTAACTTTCTTCACTTTTCACAAGATAGTTGGAATTGTGGTGGTTTTCTATAGACGGAACAGACTCGATCAACTACTCTGTTTTTTATACAGTTCTTGAGTTGCTCAATTTTGTTGCAAAAAATATCAGTAAGGCTATTTCAGATTACGTGGCAAATTTTCTATATATAACAAAAATCATATTGTCGTTGCTGGACAGAACAATTGGTGTTGCAGTTTTCTCGAAGTACTCTTGAAACCACACTTGGGTAACAAAATTAAATTGGGTCAGTTCTAACCAATTTTACTTGACAGTTTATTTTTCTGTAATTTGTCAATATGGGGTCTAAGGCCGCTAGTGTAGAACTAAGCAAAANTTTGGCAGTTTATTTTTCTGTAATTTGTCAATATGGGGTCTAAGGCCGCTAGTGTAGAACTAAGCAAAATCGAGAGACTTAATGGTACAAATTATTCAACTTGGAAAAATAGGATTCGTCGCATATTATTCCAAGATAAAGTTGAATATGTCTTTGACACACTGTACCCAAAAGAACCACATTTTAGAGCTGGAGAGGTTACTAAAAACACCTACAAAAGATTCATAGAGAACGACAAATTG